CTCCATAATTTAAGACCCCCCCCCCCTGTCTTTTCCTTCCCTCGCCAAGGGCGCCGCTGACGGCCTGGGCCTGCTCCTCGTGCCGAGAGCGAAGGGAATAGCAGATGCTGCCCGGGGTGCCGGGCGCCACTAGACTCCCCGTGTCCGGGCTAGCGACCCGCCCCGGAGCTGGGTAGGGCCCGTCTGCCTGCGCTCGCAGGGGCCGGCCTGCCTGAGAGCTCTTCTTCCCGCCCGCAGGCGCAAATCCTTCTCCTTCGCCGTGGCGTACGTGCTGCTGATCTTTGGCGGCCAGCGTGTCATGAAGCAGCGGCGAGGGTACTACCTGCGCACGCCCCTGGTCCTGTGGTCGCTCAGCCTGGCCCTGTTCAGGTAAGCACGGCGTCTCCTCCGGCCGCCGCAGGGCCCCGCGGTGCCGGCTGGCCCCCGAGGGAGCCGGGGAGGCCAACCCGGAAGGCGCCACCGAAAAGTCTCCAGGGGGCTTCAAATTCAGGCCTTATTTTAACACACACACCCCCGGTCCCAATCCTGCAGAAGTGACCCCGCAACTGGGGGGAGGGGTCCTGCTACCGCCCCCCAAATCCCTGCCTGGCTATCCTGTGCCTTTCCCACCACAGCCGCCCGGGGGAGGCCGGGCCCTTTTCTCCGACAGGTCGGCCCAGGAGCAGGCTGGGTGCTCGTGTGCGGCTGCCTGTGGGCACCTCGGGGCCCTGACGCCCGGCAACGCTCAGCCTGAGCTGGGGCTGCATCCCTGGAGGGGGTGGGTGGTGGCCGGGCTGCAGGCCTCTGTGCTGTGCAGGGTCTCGCGCTGCCTTGCCGCCACCGACTCAGACGCCTTGGGCAGCCGCTGACTGTGGGCCTCTCCTAGGGCCCCTGGGCCCGGGCGTGGGAGCATCTCGAGGAGAAGAGCCTCCGACTCCGGAAGAGAACACGCGAAGGATGGCCAGCTCCTCTCTGGCCGGCTGGCAGAGGGTGTCCTTCAGGGGCAGCCCGTCCATACAGGCCTAGGGCGCCAAGTTCAATGGGGCGCCAAATTCAAGTGTAATATCATGGCCGGGTTTGGAGGCGGGAGAGCCGATTGCAGGGTTTGCCTAGGGTGCCAGTTGCTGGCAGCTAGCCTAGGGCCGCGCCTGGTGTCCTTATGTACCCTTCCTTGGCTGCTGGGGAGGTGCGCGGGGAAACTGGCAAACTTCCTGCTTGCTCCCCCAGCAGCAAGGCTAAAAGCTGGCCCCCAAACGGCACCGACGAGCTGGGTCCTGCCACACACAGATTTCTTTTGGGAGCAGCGGGGTATGTGTCAAGTACCCGCCACGGACAAGTCGTAAAAGCGAGATAACAAATCTTCTATCGCAGGCCTCTGTGCGAAGATTCAGTTCTTTGTCTTTAAACAGTCTATAAACTGCCCATAAACAGCTCCGCTGGCTTCCTGTAGGACTCCAGTGCGCCTGCCGAGTGACTCAGCCACAGCTTAGCTCTGTAGTTCAGGGCTCCCCGCCAACAGCCTTCAGTTTTCCCGCCCTCCGCTCAGCACCTGTTTGCTGCCGAGCGCGACCGTCGTCCTCGTGAGCTCAGTCGGTGTAAGGTGCTGACACACGAGGGGGCGACACTGGCTGGGAGTGATGCTGGATTCTCACTGGCCTGCGTGGTCCGTGTAGGGTAAGGGAAGATGTGGGATGCTAGAATGACACCTTGCCGTACAGTGTCCTGGCACGTGCAAGCTCTCGCACGGATAGTGCATGCACTACCACCGTGAGGCCATAGCCCCGCTTGAATGACTGTTATGCTTGTGAGTCTACCTGAGCGCCTCTTTCGAAGTATTGAAGGTGTTTGTAGCCCTGGGTTGCTGAGATACCGTGCTCTGCCTCTTATCTCTCGGCTGGTATTTCATAGGTGATGTTCTGACAAAGCAGTTCTAGGGGAGAAGCCACAGTTGCTGACCCCAGCTCAAACTGCTTCCAGCCTGATGCACACACGAGAGGCTGTCTGTCATCACACCAGTGCGATTTAGCAGCTCCCCTACTCTGCCTGCAGTTACGGCTTCAGGTCTGAGAGGAGCCGTGTTAGTCTGTAGCTTTAAAAACAACACACAGTCCTGTGGCTCCTCAGAGACCAACACGTATATTAGATCGTGAGCTTTCGTGTGTAAAACCCACTTCCTCAGATGCGTTGGAGTGGAAATTACAGACTCTAGGGTGCAGTTACTTGTCAATTATAGGACTAGTGTTAATGAAACCAATTGAGTCAGGCTGGATGTGTCCCATTCATAGCATTTGATGTGGAAATGTGAATATCAAAGGTGGGGAAAATTGCCTTTGTAGTGTGCTACAGCTCCAGTGCTTTGTGTGCACTCAGCTCTTCCCAAAGACTCCTCCAAATGGCGCAGCTTGCTCAATAGGAGCAGCCGTGGGAGATTTACCATAATTGGGTGGTGTTGGCCTTTCACCTCTGTGGGTGGGGCGGGGGAAGGAGCTGCATTGCACTTGTTGTATTGAATAGTTTATTTGCTGAAAGACACAGTTTGGGGGCAACTGAAACCATCTGCAAATCTGGACCAAATTCAGCAGAGAGCTTTAACCAGATTTACAAAAAGAAATTTTTAAGTCAAAATGGTTGGCTCTTCTCACTCTTCTGAAGTGAAAGGGTTTGACTTTGTGTTTCTTTTTGCAATATGGCTAGATTTGTTTCCAAGCTTTTCAGATGGGTAAAAATCACCCTCAATAAATTAATGAAAATGTCCAGGTTGAACAAAAGGCTTTGTTTGACTAGGAATTAATTTCTTGACTTTTTTTTTTCTCATTTTGCAAGAAAGGGTAACATTTTCCGTTTGGTTCATTCTAAACCCGTGTATTTGGGTTTTGCTCTTTGGTTCGGCCACTGAACTGAAAAATCCATTATTTGCGTCCCTCTGGGTTCCGTTTCTGAAATGCTGCTGAAGGCAATTCATCTGCATTTGCAGCTAAACCACGTGCAGGACTTGCTTAGCTGTCCTGTCAACAGCTTCTGTAGCTTAGACAAGCTCTGTGAGAAGTGGAAAAACGAGGGTTTAACTACCGTTGTCAGCCTCTTGATGTCTTGCCTGTGTTGGGGAGGAGAAGGGCGTTCTGTCTTAGCCTAGGTATCTACCAGGGTAAAACGTGTCTTGTCTGCTAGAAATACTAACCCTACAGCAGACCTTTAAGTCCTTGCTAATCACTATCCATAGCCAAACAAGCCAGCCATGCGGAGCCAGTGCAGCTGCTAAGCAAGGGGATGAATTTCAGCTTCTTCTCCGTCAAGTTGTCTCTGATTCAGAATTTTTAGTCTGGGGGTGGAGGAGGCAGGCTGGATTTTTCCGAGCCCAGCTGGGCTTTGCCCTGTAGCACAAGCTGTTCAATCGCTTCTCAGTCTGTAAAGCGAGCCGGCCAGCTGGTGCCATCCATCTCCGGTCGGATCAGAACCACTGCGGCGAGCCGGATGGACACACGGGCCTGGCTTCGCCAGCGCACCTGCAGAACGGCCTTTGCACATAGGGATGAGATGAGCCAGTTGAGCCGGTAGCTCTCTCCCTGATGCCCCCCTCCAGTGATGTGTTTTGTATCCGGTGAGGCTCGGGCCCGGCCCGACCTGCTGAGCCCAGGGGTGCTGGGCGCTCACTGCTGACGTGCCCCGATAAAACCCAGAGTGGGACTTGCACGGGGCAGGCTCTGAGCTGAAAGGTGTTGGCAGAGCTGCCTGGGGACCAGTGGCTGAGCTGTGCTAGGGAGCCGGGCGTCCAGAGGGGACGGAGTTGGCTGAGCTCTCTGGAGCGAGACGTCGGGCTGGGGTGTCATCCCGTCCTGTGACTCTCTTGCAGCATCGTCGGCACCCTGAGGACCTGGGGGTACATGGGCTTCGTCCTCTCCACCAGCGGCTTCAAGCGCTCGGTGTGTGACCAAGGCTTCTACAACGGCCCCGTCAGCAAGTTCTGGGCCTATATGTTTGTCCTCAGCAAAGTCCCGGAGCTGGGTGAGTGTCCCGGCGCCGCGCTTACGAACGCTGCCCTCGCTGCGGGCGAACGGGCTGCGTCTCAGCCCGCCTCCGCGCTCCCCCTTGTTCTGCGCCCCCGCAGCTCAGAGCGACGGGGGCTCCGTCCTGGGACCTCCGTCTAGCTCCGTCCCCCAGCGCGCTCGCTTAGGCCGTGGGGAGAAGACCCAGGACTGGCGAGTAGGGTTCAGGCCCAGCCCTGACGCTAAGGGGAGGGAGAAGGGCGGGGGCAGGGCCGTTGGCACTGCAGCGCTTGGCACGGGGTGGGACTGGATGCTTTTTTGCAGTGCTCCCGGACCGCCCGGAAGGGGGGGGGGCGCTAAATCGAAAGGGGCGGGGCCAAGATGCTTCTGGGCTAAGAACTTTGCTTTGCTTCCTCCAGCCCCTAATTGGCCTGGGGGGCGGGGCCTCCGCGGGCCGGATCAGCCCGCTTGGCAGGCCGGATCTGGCCCGCAGAGGCCCTTTTGCCTACCCCTAATTTAGTGTCAAGGTTTATCTCAGTGGTTCCCAGCCTTGTAAGCCTTGTCACCGATCCCCCTCTGGAAAAGAAAAGCAAGGACCGCAGTGGGCCCAATCCTTACTTTCCACGGACCCCCTGCGGTACCGCCATGGCCCACCAGGCGGCGTGGCCCACCGGCTGGGGCCAA